TATGCAATATTTTTAAACGAAATATGGGTCGGAATCTAACTTAACAACCTTTTGTTACACGGGTTTAATATGTTGTATACCCTTAATTAAGAAATTTTGAACTAAGCAAATTATCCATTTAAAGGCGTTAAAGTTCGATAAAAGTCGAAGTGCGCCATCCGTTTAAAGTGAGAAATTCGTCCGTGAAAACCACGAAATTAGCGATTAGAAAATGTGAGATCGCAAATCACTCGCACAAGTGCGTACAATCTGGAAATCGTTTTCTTACAGATCGCTAATTTGTAATTTTTGAAGGCCTGAATTCGGCCCTAAAACATGAAGGATACTGATTCAAAACGCTTTTAATCGATTTGGGGTAAAAAAAAATCCCTCATGTTATCTATCCTAGTTCCATTGCATTCTCCTACTACATTCGATTGCATAGCAGTCATTCCACACCGTTTGGTGTGGGAATGACAGCTAGTTTCATAACTGAACCATTTTTCTCTGAAGAGCAATTTTTCTCTGTCGTCGACAGCTGGACCACTGTGATTGCAGCTCGCTTAGAGTCAATGTTAAAATGTTTCGTGATACACGAACTGCACTGCAGTAACGTGGCATTTTAGATACTACGATTTTTATGCAGGGCTGGGCCCCACCTCACGTGTGTCGCACAGTTACTTAGGCAACACATTTCACGAATGAACGTCTTATACGCCAACACTTCCCCTCTTCCCACCAGACCTCAACCTCTGTGACTTTTAGCTATGGGGTTTTCTCGAAAGCACTGTTTATGGTGATAATCTAAACAATTCGGCAGAAATGAAAAATGTTAAACACTGACATGTCTGTAACATTCCTCCCGATATGCTAAGAGCTGCTGTTGAGAATGCTGTAACAGGATTTAACTTGCTTTCGGAAAATGCTAGACGCTACATTGAACATGCTTCGTAACACGTTTCGGAAAATATTAAACACATTTTAAGCAGATGTTTTCGTGTCTTATTTCATTTAAGAATCTTGTATACAGCGTCATTTTCCCCTTGGTGATGAGTTTTTTTAACTATTTTTTCCTCGCTGAAAATAAATTCCCATAACCTCCTTTACACGATTCCCAAGTTTGATAACATTTGGTACGGTAGTTTTCCTTTTATGACCATTTCAAATTGGAACTTTAATTATAACCACCATGTAAATTAAACTTTAAAAATTTTACAGTTTGGTTCAAGTCCCAGCTTTAAAAATATATATATAAATATAATCTTTTATATTAATCCTCTTAGAAAGAATGTTTTAAGAAGCTAATTTTTCTCTCGCTTTATAGATTGTATAAAAAAACATGATCTTTAATATGATTTAGATTGTTTCATTCAGCCCATATAAGAATCGGTTACTCGGTGGTACAGAATTAACCCTGCTGGACTGTTTTATTTCTTTGTCATTTAGCAAAAATCTTTTAATTAAATATTTATCCTTTGGACTTCGCTTTTTTTATTTATAGTTAAAATGACTAGAAAATGAAAAGCTGTCTTCAGCTGAAACGCAATTCATGTAATTGATATTTTTAAAAAATTGACAAGAAAGCAAAAATTTATGGAAGTCTAACAATCGAAAAATCTTAATTTTCTTGTGTGTGCACTGAAAATAACTGTAGAAAGAAAGAAGAAAATTAGGGAGAAAAATAAGCAAAAATTCGCAGGGAAATTTGGCTGTCAGACATACCAAGATGTTTCAAAAAGTTGGACGCTTTTGAAGATAATTTCAGGATACTTCAATGAATTTAGGTGATCAAAGAAAAAACACTTGGACGTGTACACCAGCAAATACCATCAATTGAGCTTGTGGTTAACAGAAAAGACAATATGATTTAGACTATATGGTTGTATAAATTTAAATTACGTTATAGAACATCATATCGTATCATAAATGGAGAATCCCATGATTTTCTCATTCGAATTATTTGAAGATTCAGGAGTTTATCCAGTGATGTATGTGGATGTCACCTAAAGATGTTTTTTTTTTTTTTTTTTTTTTTTTTTTCCTCCTGATGAAACAGCGGCCGAGCGATAAAGTCACTGAACGCTGGTTGTTCTGTCCGAGGTCCGAATCCCTCGAACGGGCTGGCTGCTTGGGCATTTTCGTGGTTTTCCCCATGTGTAACGTGTATGCCAGCCAGTTCCCCTTAGAAAGTCCTCCACGAAGGCATCCCTCCCCTTAGGCAGATAGCTCTAGTGTGCTTCGTCATAATTAAATAAACCAAAAACTCTTGATGAAACCAGTCATTCCTTTCATCTCATACCTTCAAAATGTTTAGCCTCTAAAGACTGATAAAGGCTCTGACCAAATATTGATGAAATGGATTGAATTGAATTATTAAGTTACGTCAAAGCAGGGCTATCTGCCTAAAAGGAAGGATGCCTTTGTGAAGAACTTTCTAAGGGAAATCATAAGCTGGCATACACGGTACACATGAGAAAATCCACGAAAACGCCCATGCAACCAGCCTGTTTACCGGGATTCGAACCCCGGAGTGAACTATCAGTGTTCAGCGACTTTACCGCTCGGCCGTTTGTGGGCCTTTATGAAATGGAAGGCGATAACTTTATTTAAAATGATTGTCAGAAATATCAAGATATTTCGAAAATTTGGATGCTTTTTAATATACTTGCGGAATGCCTAAAGAAAAAGAGGAAGAATAAAGTAGAATGAAGAAAAAGAGCAAGAATAAAATAGAATGCCTGAAGAAAAAGAGAAGAAAAAATACATTTTACGGTAAAATTTAGTATTTGTATTTTTTTTTTTTAAATTTAAAACTTTTTAATCTTATGATATTTTTTTTTTTGATTTTTTACGATTTCAAAAATAAAATATTTGACTAAAATATGAATAACATTTAAGAAGCCAAATGTAGGATAAAACTGTGTAAAGCAATGGGCACAATGAATAAACTGTTTTAAAGCAGTGTATGCAAGTCATCCTAAGTTTAAAATGTCGCAATCCTAAGTTAAATGTCTCTCTTATTTATATATATCTTTTCTGAACGGAACATTGAAAGGCGTGTTAACTGTGCTTTACTGTATTTTCTCTTTTAATATATGCAGTTTTCAAACGCATCGTAGTCTGGGTTACAAAGTAATCCTCCGAAAGAAACGCAATTCAAATAAATAAAATCAAATTCTGGAAAATTTATATTAATAAATATATTTAAAATGCTCAATTCGAAGGAATAAATAGAAAATTTTAAAACAATTATCTGAAGAGACAATGCAACACAAACAATTAAAATAAAGTTAAGAATTTAAAAAAATTACCTAAAATAATAACTATGACAAAAATATATATAAAGAAAACTATTTGAAAAAAAATAAACGCTGCACCTTTATTTACGCAGTTCGAATAGGTAAGTAGAAATTTTTAAAAAAGTTATTCGAAAAAAAACCATGCAACTTAAACAATTAAAATGAAATTTGAAAAAAGAATAAATTACTTAAAATAATAAGTTATAATTAAAAATATAATATAAAGAATATTATTTGGAAAAAAGGAACGATGGTGACCTTTTTTCCGCTAACGCAATGGAAAAAAAGGAAAGAAAATAGGTTGCCATATAATTAAGAAGTTCGCCAAGTGAACTATTTCTTGGCGCATACTGACAAAAAAGTGCCAACAATAAATTTGTTTGAATTTCTCCGTAAATTTAGCTCCAAATTTCACAAAATTTCAATATTTAGGCGTATAATTTGAGTCATAGAATCGAAATATGTAAAAAAATTGGTATGTTATTTCAGGAAAAGTCCGATTTTGTGTCAAAATACCTATGTTAGAATAGTGCTATATATAAATCTAATATATATCCTAAGTCGCGCTTTCGAGACATGAAGAACGCAATTTGAATTTTGTCAATCGGCCCAGTAGATCGGGAGATATAGGACTGTCCCTTTTTTTTTTTTTTTTTTTTTTTTTTTTGAGCAGTTTACTTGAAAACATCACTGATATCAGCTATGTAAAACATCGAATCATAGTCACAAATGAAACTGTAACTCCACAGATGCTTCACAACATATATGGAGGGAGATTGAATTTCGTACTAATGTCTGTCGCGCGACTAATGGTGCGCATATTGAAATGGATATAAAGCTTTGTATTTTTAGTCCAAAGGGGCTTTGTCCCTGAAGGACTATTGTTTTCGTTTTGGCATTTTTCGCGAATCACTTTAAAGAGCGTATCACTTTTCAAATTGTTGCCACCAAATGTAAGAGCCCTGCATTATATTTGAAGAAATTAAGTAATGAAGAATCTGCATAAATGTATGCATGTTTCTCACACTGTGATAAAACAACGGTACATAGAACCAACCAGTTTTTTAATAACGTAATCATACTGCGAATATGGGCATCTGAAAGCCCAAATTTGAAACTTGGAATTTGTTTATTACCAATTTCCTATTTTGAAAAACTTTAATGAATCTTTGATTACAAAACTCCACAATTTAAAAGCGAACAATGGCAACACTTTACGGGGAGGAGAACCATTTTATCTCTAGCGCGCGGAACTGTGTATCGGAAATTCTAAAGTTATGCTCATTTTAAAATTACTTTGCGACATTGCTGTTGAACTGAATTTTGCAAGTGCAAAGAACATGATATTTAACGAATAAAGGTAACACACAAAACGTTAAAAAAAAGCATCTTTGGACGTAATTTAAAATCTGAAACCTTTCAGTTTATTATTATTATTATTATTTTAGTACCAAATTTATGGTTATATGTATTTATTAATTTTCATAATAAAATTTTGTAATGCTGGCATTCTTTTCCGATGACCCTGTATTTCGAGCGTGTATATTACTATTGCACTCAACCTGTCCATTTAATTTGAGGTATCAAACAGTGCAGAGATCTGTCGAATTAATATGTTGTTTAAAAATCATTAGTATTTTGAGAACTTTTCTCTTAAGATTTATATTTGCATTTTGTGCACTTAAGTATTTTTATTATTCATTAATTTTATTCACCTTATAGTTTTACAGTGACTTGTATCAAATAGTAACTGAAAGATGTGAAGAACCTTTTTCCTTGGCAAAGGATTGTGCATTCGTTAATTCAGTGTACTTTTTATTGAGTTCATGTAAATTGCTAAGTTGCTCATAGACAATATGAAAATATCCAAAGTATATTATTGTGATGAAATTATAGATGCATATATGTTGAAGTACATGTACTAAAATAAAAGGAAATTCCACCCGTCCAAAAAATTCATGAATTTATCAATAAACTGACTTTTAAAACAGTCAAAACTAGAAATGAATTTTGTTTTATTTTTTACAAGATTTTATGTGTTATTGTATTAGATAATACGCGCATGGCAGCATTATGTGGACATGCCTGTGCTTAGTGGAGGAGTTCCGTGATTGATTTCAACGAAGAAGTCACCTTGTAAGGATCTTAAGTTTTACTAACGTTTATTTTATTTTAAATCTTTACTATCACTTCTTATTTTCTACTTCCGGCCAGAATTAAAAGCTTTAACTTATTTATGCAAATTTGTCTTGCGAACGCCAAGTACTTAAGTTGTGGCTTTTTGCCAAGCAAGAGAGAGAGGAAGGAGTAATTAGGAGCAGGACGCTTGCCATAGCAGTTTTACTCGGTTGCTGGTTGCCTTCAAGGCCAGAGGTTTAATCCTCTTGATAATTTTAAACGTATCGTAGTGTTAACAGTTCTCTGTACTACATACGGCCTTTCTGTTAATATACGGCCAATCTTCAAGTAGACACTTGTTTATTAATCCAAAGTTAGTTTAGTTAGAATTTAGTTAATATTTTTATATTCTTACGTTCAGACCACAAGTGGTTGGTCTCTGTATTCCGAAGTCCGGAAATCATTGTAAAGAGAGAAAAATAAAGGGTTTCGTATACCCTTCCTGTGTATCTTGTCTACTTCCCACATTTATTGAACATAGCTTTAGTAAGCTCCCTGTTCCGAGTCAGGTCATTTAATGTTCCCAAAGCAAGTAAGGAGGAACACTTGAACCTGATAGTGGCGCCCGACGAAGAAGAATAACCATGGCCGAGTTTCAAGAAGAACCTGTGCTGCCTGCAGAAGCGGCTCAGAATCCAGAAATGCCAGCTGCCGCCCTGGAAGGATTTGGTTACATCGTCCAGACCATGCGCGCATCGATGAAACCAGAAGCAACATTTAATGGAAACTCACCGGTAACCAGTTTTTTTTGGAAAAATTGGATGACCACTTCATGCTGTATCCCCGTGCATGAGTTTCCAGAAAGTCACCTTAGCTACCAGCGCTTTGAGGGGCCAAGCGCTTAATTGGTTCAAATGTATAGGCAGAAAGCCTCTTGGGTCAAGCGGGGAAGTCCCACCTATACTTAGGAAAATTTCAAGACTGCCTTAGTAAAAGCCTTCCCTGTCGTAAGAGGATCGTGCCAAATTAGAAGCGGAACTATTCAGCATATACCAGAAAACGAATCGAAAATCTCTCAAGCTTTATTTTAAGAAAAATTCACGTCTTCAAACTCTTGTATGGAAACCGTCCGGATCCTGAGATAATTCAAGTGATTTTGCCGAGGTTACTTCCCCAAGTACAAGACTTTATTGAATTAAGGAATCCGACTACACTGGAAAAGTTATTTGAGCTAGCAATCCAGTTTGAAAGTAGAAGAACGGCGGACATTGAAAGAAGACGCCAGTATGAACAACGAAACCAATTTGGTGCGCCAAGACCACAGCAAAGTCAAGAACACGGCTACGGAAGCAAAGCGAATCAGTGGGCAAGGAAACCCGAGTATCCAAAAACAACCGGCGAACGTCGACAGTTCAATAGTAATCCAGGAAAAAAGTCTGAAGGCCAGTGGAAAAAGAAGGAAAGCACGGAAATGAAAAAACAAGATTTAAACTAAAACGGATTTCTGCTGACGGGAGGGTGCGGAAATCCGAAGGCCAAGAAAACCCCTCTTCCTTCAAGTTAAATACAGTAATGGTGAAAAATTTGACTCTTCCAAAGATTGAAGTGTTGGTGAATAACATCCCAGCCACCGCACTCCTGGATACAGTGTTCCTGTGTGGCAGAAGATTTTTTTAGGAAGTACTTTCGGAATACCGCATATATAATTCGGATAATACGACAGTGTTAGCTGCGCAGGGACAAAGATGCAAGTGCATAGGTAAATTACCGCTATACGTTCGTATCAAGGACGAACAAGTAAAGATTATGTTTTTTATAGTAAAGAATTTTCAAGCACATATCATCTTAGGATAGATTTTTTTCAGAGGCAGAAAGCAACGCTGGATTTTAACGAAGCGTCCCTTAAGCTGACGATGAAACCAGTTCGAGAAGAAAAAACAGAACCACCAATGTTAAACCTTGACCACCTGCCTAAGGAAGAGCAACAAAAAATCCGACAAGTGGTAAGTGAATTTGCTTCGTTATTTAGTGATATTCCAGGATTTACTCAAGTTACTAACCATAGTATCGACACCGGAGATTCACTGCCAGTTCGCCACAAACCATACCGGTATATGATAAGAATAAAGAAAAAAATTATAGAGTGGCACATACGAGATATGTTACGTAAAAAGATCATAACGCCCATCTCAAGTAGTTATGCTAGCCCGGTTGTTTTATGTAAGAAAAACAATGACTATCCAGTAACACATCCAAAAAGGTGGCGTTTCGCGAATTGACTATCGTAAATTAAACTCCATGACTAAATATCCGGTATATCCGTTACCTATTATTGAAGAAATTCTAAGGAACATAAATTCTACCAAATATATGACGACTTTAGACTTAACGACTGGTTATTTTCAAATAGGGGTTAGGCCGGAAGACGTGCCTAAGACTGCTTTTATAACCAAGTCTGGCACTTATGCATTTCCTGCGTATGCCGTTTGGCCTTTCAGGGGCACCGGCAACATTTCAGCGATGTATGGACATTGTGCTAAGGCCTGTTCTTGGAAAGTCCACATTTATCTATTTAGACGATATCATTATTACTAGTGATAATCTGGACCAACATGTACAGGATTTAAGACAGGTGTTTTCTTTATTAAATGAGGCCGGTCTAAAAGTTAATGTCGAAAAGTGCAAATTTGCAGCCCCTGAATTAAAATACTTAGGTTACAAAATATCTCAGAAAGGAATCGAGACAGACGAATCAAAAATAATCGCTGTGCAAAAGTATCCGCCGCCAAATACGGCGAAGAAGCTCTCTTCTTTTCTAGGACTTTGTTCATATTATAGGTCCTTTATAAAAGATTTTGCAGCTATTGCTGAACCATTGTTAAAATTAAAAAGGAAAAAGGCAAGATTCTCGTGGACGGCCGAAGCCAATAGTGCTTTCGAAAAATTAAAGCAAGCATTAACGCAAGCCCCTGCTTTGAAATTTCCTGAAAAGGATGAGAATTTAGAAATTTCAGCGGATGCTTCGGATTATGCGGTAGGAGCGGTACTTTCGCAAAATCAGCAGCCCGTGGCATTTTTTAGTCGAACTTTAAATCAAACACAAAGAAATTATTCCGCGACCGAGAGAGAGGCACTTGCAGTTCTGTTAGCAGTGCAAAAGTTCCGAGTCTATTTTGGAAGGGCGCCAATAACAGTGTATTCTGATCATGCGGCGGTAACTAGATTGTACTCAGGGAAAAAATTATCCCCAAGGTTAATAAGATGGGCACTCAAGTTACAAGAGTATAATCTGGTAATCAAAGCACACCCCCGGAAAGGAAAAATATCGTAGCAGATGCCCTATCCAGAATAAAAATAGATGAAGAAGGTAATATTGTAAAGGTGGCAATGCTCACAGCATGTACAATAAATTCCTAAGAAACTGTAATAACAGAACTGGGTAAGGATCCTGAAAATTTTAGCCACCAAGATATTGTGGCGATAAGAAATAGGGCGGCCCATTATAATAATAGTTCCCATTATAATAATTAATTATAATAATAGGCCACATGGTCTATTATTTTATACAAAAACTACAAATTCCAACAACGAATTTCGACCTGTTATCCCAGCTAGTCTTAGATTAAATATCCTTCAGGAGTTACACGACTGCCCTTTAGCTTCTCATGCTGGTATTCGAAAAACTATCCAACGCGTACGCGAAAGCAGTCTATTTTCCTGAACTGCAAAAGTTAACAAGGGCGTATGTCCAGTCCTGCCTAACATGTCAAGCAGTTAATTATATTAATTTCCGCCCGGCCGGGTTTCTAAATAGTATTAAATCCGAATTTCCAAATGAAATAATTGGCATCGATTTATTGGGCCCTTTCCCAAAAGTCAGTTAAATAAAAGTCGCTATCTCCTTGTTATGGTTGATCATTTTAGTAAGTGGACCGAAATTGTTCCCTTAAAACGAGCCTCCGCGAAATTAGTTACTGATTCTATTTTAAATAAATATATTTTAAAATACGGGGCCCCTAAAAGTTATATCGGATAATGGTCCTCAATTTGTAAGTAATATATTTGAAGATATGTGCCAAAAACTGGGCATACGTCATTTAAAAATGGTCCCGTATCGGCCGCAATCAAATATAGCGGAACGGGTCAATAGAAATATAGTGAAAATTATCCGTAGTTATGTTAAAAATTTTCATAAAAGCTGGGATAACTATGTCAATGAATTAGCTTTCGCCCTTAGGACCGCAAAACATGATACAACGGGCAAAAAAAATAACTCAGCAAAACTGCTGAGTTATTTTTAGGCAGAAAGATTATAACGCCGTTAGATAAATTATTTTATGTTCAACAAAGAGCCCCAGAATTTAAAATGGGTGATATAGAAAAATTAATTAAAGAAGCAAAAAAGAACACTGAAGTAGCACAGAGAAAACAAAAGCTGTATTACGATATGAAACGACGGGGAGTAACTTATAAAGTAGGGATGAAGTTGTTAAAAATTAAGCATTCACTTTCTTCAGCACCAGAAGATAAAACTGCCAAATTTTTCCACGATTTGAAGGACCATATGTCATAGAAAAAATAACTCAGGCTGTAGTGGTGTTAAAAGCCAGGAATGGTGAAACATGCTCCGCAAACATTGGCCAGATAAAACCATTCTATGAATCGTAATAAAATGCAAATATTTAAAGATCTTTTGCAGGATCCGGCACGGCAGGCACAAGCTCCAGAGGTGGAACAACGACAATCACAAGGGCAAGCCATTAGGAGGCAGGAGCAATTGAAAAGAAAGTTTCCTCGTTGGAAAATTGAAGGTAACAAGAAAAAGAAGCCGTTCCACCGACCAGAAAAGAGAGCGCACGACC